AAAATTTTTCTGTTGCACATGCGGCCCTATTCATTATCTTCACTAACTGTATCCTATTTATTCATTTAATTTATTTAATTTATTTAATTTATTTAATTTATTTAATTTATTTAATATCTTTCATATATTTATTCGCGTCGCGTAGTATTAAATAATAATTATATTCGTCGTAATCGATGCCGAGGAATCGCCGTGACACGCTGATTCCTCGAGCGATAATTTCAACGATTTTCAAAATTGGATCTTACTCCTACAATTAAACTTTTAACGCCGATTAAGAACATCGATGCGCTTAGATTTGCCATTTACACTGTCCTAGTTATCATTTAAACAATTTGCTTTATTTTATTTTCTTAATATTCATACCTGTTCATATCTGTATAAAATTTCTAAAAACACTAGCCTACTATGAAATCAATGAGTTCGTAAGATATTTCTTTCAATGTTTCCCGATGACATTAATAGTGACTATGTGAGATTGTATTATTTTCATCGACTTAGCCGCTGAACTTCCAAAATTGTAAATTATGATTTTTAATTTTTGCAGTTCCTTCGCTTCGGGCATTCGTATCTGTCTTTTACCATATTAAGCTTTTGCTTTTTGTCGCGTGATTTTAGGCATCGAATATACGAGAATCGACGCACTAAGCGATGTTTCGTCCTTTTTTCTTTTCTTTTCTTCCCCCCCCCCCCGTAATCAGTATCTCATTTATATATCAGTAAGCCTTATTCGGCACATATGAACGATTATAATGGAATGACTTCATATATAAATTTTGGCTCAATATCATTTCATAATGTGCGTCATTTTCTTTCCGTTATATGTTGCTATTCTTTTTTTTTCCTTTTTTTTTATTTTATTTTATTTTATTTTTTTTTATTATTTTTTTTTTTATTTGCTCAAAGGTATTGGATACACAAAAACAAAGGAAAAAAGAAGAAATAAAAGTTGTAGGATATACGAAGTATGTTTCGTTTATTTCATTCATTAGCTATTATCCAGTATGATATTGATCCGTAATCACACATACGATACACAAGTACACACTGTATATTTATGTATGTAGCTTTACTTTTCTTAATGCAAACAAGCGTTAAAAGCGCCCACGAATGATGTAGAATTGTTAATGATCTTACAAACAGACACCATAGAGAAATTTATCTTGTTAACATCATTATCTATATACTTTGACGCGCAAGTAAATTCAAGTTTATTTGGCCACTAAATATTCGTTTGTCTATATGTTCCGTTCTAAATGGCTATTGTTTTGTATTGTTGATTATCGAATGATCGGGGCTGGTCTTTTATGATGATTAATTTTTCTTTCCCATTTGTTTTCGTTTCCCCTTGACTACACTCGAAAAATGATGAAAAATTCATTGTTAACCATAAATGCCTTCGTATCATACATAATACGTGCCTTATATATAAGTACTTTTATGTATTTTATAAAGTTTTTAAATCGTTCCGTTTTATCAATTAATATTTCAAGCTTCGCGAGTGAGTTTATTCATCTAGCATTATAAAATACATTCACTTGCAATTTCTTCTTAAATATTAGCAAAGGAAATATCTGCCCACTTTATTAGATCTTTATTAGATTATTTATGAATCGGAAATTGAAGAGAATCTTTAATTAAATATTTAATTTAATAAATCAGATACAAGGCTCTGAATTTTTAAATACCATTTAAATTTTTAATATCCATCTGGATTCTGCAGTGTATTTCACCTGTTTGTGATACATAGAAATGAAAAAAAAAAAAACAAGCTTATATATAATGTATTATGAAATAACTGAAGTAAAAAGAAACAAAAAAGTTTTTTTATAAGTTGCTTCGAGTGTAAGATATTGTATTGGGCTTCGCTATCCGTCTGTTCGTCGCTTCTTTTTTACTATATGTGCTGTTAAATAATAGTAACTCTATTTCTTATTCGAAGTGTGGCCATTTTTCCATTATTAGACGATCATTTTCATTGTATTTAAACTTGTAACGAGCGCATACAAAATAAATAACAAAAAGAAAAAAAAAAGAATGAGAAAAAAAACTAAAAAACGAATGCAGTAGATTTATTTAATTTTCATGAAAGTGAGAAAAACTGATTGTGAAATAGATGCGAATGGGTATATGCAAAATAAATAGACATGTAGAAAACGAGAACAGACAGACAGACAGACAGACAGGCAGGCAGGTAGAGAGACAGATATACCCGTTTGGCGAATTTCGGAGAAGTCGTGATTATTTGTAACAAATCATCGAAAATGTGCAACATTAGCGTGTAAAAAACGCGAGGCGAAAGGTGTAGAGGTGTTTGTTAGTGTGTGACGTGCGATACGACACGTACTTGCAGCTATATTCATTTATCTGGTTCGTAAAGTTTTCCATCTGCGAATCTCCGATCGACGGGTGCAAAAAAGGACTTAAATGTTATATTTGGCACCACGTGGGCTTTGAAAATTGCTTCTATTGTCACTTTTATGCTCCGCTAAATGATTGTATAATGACGTGTACGCACGTATCTTTACTAATTTACTCACGTTATGCATCCTTGTGGCAGCGGAAACGCGACATTGACGAAAAACAATGTTATCTAAGTATAAAAGAACAATAGAAAAATTTTCTTTTATTTGGTTTTTGCATTTTTTTTTTGTTTTGTTTTTATCATACCGTATTATATATATTATATATATATATATATATTTTTTTTTTTCACAGCACTTAATGCTTCCTTGGATTAGTTTTATATGAAAAAGAAAGACTTGAAATCTTCCTAGCTAATTGTCACTCTGATATTTTTTTTCTCATTTTTTCGTATGCGAGTGTGTTGTGCTCTTTACTTTATGTCGTCTTTGTGTGTTTTTCGCTATATACTGCTGTTACTTCGCTTAGCAACAGCGTTTCAACGTAACCACGCTTGCCTTCATAACTGACAGTGTCCGTAGAGAATTCTTGGAAGAAGGCCCCCGAAAGTCCAAAAAGAATATATATATATATATATATATGAGTAAATGGGTGTGCGTACGTATGAGTGGATTGAGCAACCATGCGATAAGAGCTGACGAAAATGTAATGACACTTTTGCTTAGGATATTCTTCATTAGGAGCGATATTCTACTCGACGAAAAGATAATAGAGTAAACCCATTTAACGATTCATATTAAGTCTCTGTCTATTGAATATTGAATTTTGGTGATTAAATTTTACATCAATTTTTGACGAAGATATACCTATAAAATGCCAAATTTCAACTTCAATAGAGTCGACATTCAAGGGTAAAATAAAATATTTAACGCGTTGATTCAGTTTTAAATTATATTAAAACTATGCACAAAAACATGACAAAGCCATATCCATCGTAGATTACGTAGATTTATGCATTTGTGTAGCGAATGACTCGATTATCCGACAACGAACTATTCAAATTCCAGATAAAACAATAAAGAATGATAACTTAATGTGCCGAGCGTCGATGATTATTAGCGATGGGTAAAAATATTCTTCCGGCACTTTTCGTCGGAATCGGTATTACAAATGTATTATGCCGTTGGATCGGCGAATAAGAAATTTTAAAGGGCAAAGCAGTAGTCGTATGAAAGAATCTCCAATTAATAAGAATAATAGCAATTATTGGTAACTATGTATAGAACAGTAAAAGTGATGGGCTAATTAGGCATTTAAAAATTTCATGAAAATTACGCTTATTAGACAATCTTCGGATAATCTATTGAAGTACTGTGTGACGTATAAAGGAAATTTATATTAACAATTTTTCAGCCTATCAGCATGGATTAAAAGCTTAATGTTTCAATGATAAATTATTTATATTAATGTGCACGTTATTATTGTAATCTAAATACGCTAGTTGAAAGATCATTAACTTCTACAATATAATTAACTAATATATACAAAACTATATAATGCAATTTTTAGCTAAAATAATACACAAGGAATTCTCCCCGGATGGTTGCATTATAATAAACACAGTCTCATTATCCGTGTACGAGCGTGAATAACACGCTGTCTGTGTATTCCGCAGTTTCCGGCGGTTGACCGTCGTATTTGGCGTCGCTTGCCTAAATCGGCCACGATGATACACCACGCAAATTACCAAATACCCAATGTGCCCTCCATTCATTCTTTTCGTCTCGCCGTGTAGTTGTACGACGTGTATTGGCAGTGATTAACGCTCCCGCGCTCCAAAGACGATACGATCCGCGCATGTACCCGATCCTTGTCTCTCCCATTCCCGGGTACGCATAAATGTATACGGACACGCTCGTATGATCAGCATGGAGACTCGCTTGGTTGTCTCATCATATCTCGAACGAGCGAGATAGAACATCGGTTGGGCACTCGTTCTCCTCGTTAAGTCTGGCTCGCGTCAACGGACTCGCGTTACTCTTTCAGCGCGTGCGTTAAAAACGCAACGACGGTGAAATTGACGACGGTCTGGTCGGCACCGCTACATTAATGGGAGTCGCATCGTCCGGACGGAGAACCTATCACATATTCAAGCATCAATTGTGATAATTGTTCTCGTAACGCCAGCATCGTGTAGGAGAGAGTCGAAATCGCGGGAGACAAGTGATAAGAGCGCAGTAGGAAGTCTGTCTCTGCCCGTGTGTCTCCCTGTGCCCGCGCAAGTGCACGCGCATTCGCGTGGCGGTGGTTGTAGTGATGACGATGATGGCGGTGCAGACGGCGATGTTGTCGTCGATGACGTAGGCGGCGATCTTTGGCTGTGAGCTCGGGCGAGTTGCGTATTGCGGATTACGTAGCGTCGTCGTAGCGTGAAGCACTCGTTAGCGCATCTCGTAGCTCCTCGAGACGTGAAGATCATCGTCCTCGTCGTCGTTGTCGTCGTCCTCGTCGTCGTCGTCCTCGTCGTCGTCGTCGTCATCGTTGTCGTCGTCGTCGTCCTCTTCGTTGCAATCGTTACAGTTGTCCTCGGGCCAGCGCACAAACTCCTCATCCCCCTTCCCCACTTTCTTCTCCTCCTACATCTCCACCTCCTCCTGCCCCACCGCCGCTTCCTTCTCCTCGTCCTTCTGTCCCTCCTGCTCGTGTTGCTGCTTCTGCTCGGCGCTGCTCGCGTCCGTCACGGCATTAGACGTGTCTCTTCATGTGAAGGGCGAGATGATCGCTGCGCGAGAAGCAGCGGTCGCAGTGCCGACACTTGAACGGCTTGGCACCGGTATGCTTGCGATAGTGGCGCGTCAGTTCATCCGAGCGAGCGAATCGCCACTCGCAGCCTTCCCAGCTGCACTTGTACGGCTTTTCTCCTGTAAATAGATTAAAGAGCGCCGGTGAGACTTTAAATCGGAATGGCGAGCGGACGTCGAGCCTAAATGGCAATTTCTCTTGGCCAATTGAGATTTCATTGGGCAATTTGTTATTACGGTCGACGTTAAGCCAGCTCGTGACCGTTGTTCCTCGCATCTTACATACATATATTTATATAGATCATAGATAAATAGATAGATAGGCAGATAGACGGTTGGAAAGCGCGTGAATGAAAGTTTGATTGAAAGATAGAGATAGATAGAGAGGGAGATAGATAGAGAGAGAGAGAGAGAGAGAGAGAGAGATATTTTATTTTGCGATTTGTCTGTGACTGGGACCTCGGGGCATAAGCTCCATTCGGTCGTAATGCCCCATAATTGACAATGTATTATTTCGGGTAACGAGGATGACGAGTGTCTGGCTTGGGGGTGTGCACGACGCGCATCCCGATATTACGACTCGTAAATAATGCATTTGGGGTGGTTGTGGAATGAGGCGAGGAGCGTGGTCGACGAGGTTGGCGAGGCAGCGGCTCGAGAGGGATAAAGGAAAGCGAGCCGGAGATAATGGAGGATCGACACCTGTGGCGCGGCGTTACCGCGCGTTTAACGGTTCGAGGGCCGAGCGAAGCCTCCCGCGAGGCGCCCTGAGCGCACCTAGACTGCTGATTCGTGCCTCGGGCTAGACTCTCGATTGGCCACTGGGCCGGGAGCTCCCGGCGGTTTCGTGCCACGGCGTGGGAAGCGAGGGGACGATGGAGGGATCGCCAAAGGCCGATCGAGCGCGCGGTTAACGGGACGCGGGAGATTGATTTTTGCTCGGGGCGTAGAGGTGCGCGCGCGCGCTCGCGCACCTGGCTATTTTCAATTAGCCGCAGGAGAGGAGATCGAGGGTGACCAGCATGAGGGAGCTTAGCTCGGACTTCCGTTCCTTTTTTTCCGAGCTCGAGAGCGCAGCTCGACGTGCCGATTGCGCTCTGCCGGTTCAAAATTGAAGGGCCATTACCTCGATACATTGATTTTGGCTCGCTTAATTGTGGGGCGGGGTGGGGAGGGGAGGGCATTAAAGGGAAGATGGTCGGTTGGGTTGACGCGGCTGACGTTGAATTGTTAATCCAGGCGAGGACACGTCCCGAGGCTTATCCGTTTCCATACTACGTATTGCTTTCCAGGGTTTTTAATAATAAAATGCCGTTGAATAATTGCATGCCCATGGGGTTGAAGTCGAGTGGGGATGGAGACTGGGCGTTGGAGTTGGAAAAGTGATTGGCTGTAAGTAGCTGCGGATGGATGGGAGCATTATCTTGTTATCCCGGCTGTTTGGTATGGTGATACTGTAAGCGATTGTCGCGAGTTAATTGTGGCAATGGTATGGATTGTGAGGGATTGGTGGAGAAGGAGGAGGAGGAGGAGGAAGAGGAGGATGAGGACGACGACGAGGAGGTGGTGTTAGATCTATGTGTGTGTCAAGGGTGAGGAGGAGTGTGGCGTATAGTTGTCGGATGATGAACGAAACGATCGTAATCGATAGATTAATAAGGATCTTTCAATGAAAGTGAAAGACAGGAAGCTGGCGGGACGTTTAACAAGATCTTTCGAGATAAACAGCATATTAGGGCTTAAAGCGGGCTTTTGAAAAATTATTAAATTTCTGTCCCGTGCTCTATAAATATTACCAAAAGTCTTTGAAAAATCTTTAAAGCGAGTCGAATGTTAAGGCGGCGCAGCAGTCCGAGACTCTGCGCGATCGAGCGATAAAGATGATTCGTTTGCTTCGTTCGTTAAACAAAGAGCGATTAAAGCGGATCGTCCTCTCGGAAATGTCCGTAGTCACACTGTAGTCGGCCAAAATTTTTCGTACTCTCGACGTTATTAAGCAGCCGTGGCAGAGCCGAGCCGCTCTCCCGGCGTTCTTTAATTCAAGATTATTCAAAGCACCGGCTGTTTATTTTGCCGCGCGAGAAGGAAAATTCCGTCGGGATTCTTTATCAACGTCGAAGCCCGGGAAATTTATGCGGCCCCTCGGCCAAAATTGTTTCACGGCTTCCGACGAAATAAGAAAGAGCCCGCCGACCAAACAAACGTCTTCTCCATTATTTCGCGGGCGGTGGATGGTAGGTGGCGTCTCCTCGCGAGGTGACGGCGACAAATCCAACCCGGACGTGGCAACGCATAACCAAGTTTCCGGCGACAGCCTCGGCTGCTCTACCTAAATTCCGGGCACGCGACTGCCCGGGAAAATACAACGCGCTCGCGAGTGTATACACGTGCATATAAAGGAACTCGTGGGGTGAAGGATCCCTTTTCCGTGCGATGCGAGAGAAATACTCGTCTCTCCAGTAGGAGCGACAGGAGAAAATGACGGAGTCAAAGAGAAAACATGGAGTTGGCGTGCCGCTGGAGATGTGGCGGTTGGTAAAGACGCCGAGATAAAAAGTAAGCAAGAGGGATGGAAAATGCAGATCTTGTGCGCGGCGCATGTAAGACTCGTGCAAAGGGTATTTTTTAAGGGACATGTGTTGTGATATTTTATTGTGGCTAGAGAGTTTACTCGAGGATAAAGTAGCGGAACGCGTTAGGTTTTTCTTTCTCAACGCAATGCTTTTGAACATGAAATTTACATACAATTATCTGCCATTATCTGACTTGCGCATCCTTCTACCTTCATTTAAGAAGAAAATTTTAAATCTTACTATTGTCATTTTAGATAGTTCGGCGAGTGCACGCGCCTACATTCTTGTTATAAGCATAAATTACAAAAAATACAGGTAAAATAAACGTAAGCCGTTATTAAATTTTTGTAATATGATTTTCTCACATATTGCATACTTTTATTTTCCAATCCCTGATTAAAGTGTAATGATAAATTATCATTCTCCTCCTTCAGAATCTTACGATCTCATGATTTATAATAGTTAATACATGTCTTCTGTGCTTTTGCAATTGATTAATACACGGTGCAATGCCGTTAATAAATGCGTTAATAAATAACTTTTATCACTCGTGTTGTACATATTTTCCTGCGCAAACTTGTGTATCTTCTACTTTTTTTTCCTTTTCACGTTTAATTTTGTACAATAACTAAACTACTAGTTTTTTTCTTTTCTTGGACACAAGTACGAACGTTTGAGTAAAAATATTTTTAGGAAAATTTGTGCACAATGGTCCAAGTACAAATTCATAAATCAAAATATTATTAAGAGTATTGAAAATTGATCCATAAAAAAAAAAAAAAAACAGGATGAAGAAAAGAAGAAACTTTGAAATAAAATTTCGCCTCTTCACTTAACTAAAATGAAAGCTTCATAAAAATTTACGATACTTTTACTTACGAGAGATATATGCAAATAAAAAATAAAACCAGTTGATCCTGCAAGACGTATATTTTCAATAACGCAGCACAGCGTCTATGAATATTTAATAAATACTTTTTCATTTCGAATAGTGAAATAAATTTCTTACGTCTTTCCATCAAACAATGCACGCGTTTATTGTACATCGCGTTCATCTGTCTTTGGATTAAAGTTAAGCTTGATGAGAAGCCGCGTGTCCCATCCCAAGTTCAGATATTAAGTTTTTGTACTTTTAATTTGGTCAGTTGATAAGAATTGATAAGCCCCTGAGCGTTCGTATTTCACAAGCGTATCCAGCATTTTGTTGAAATTCAATTACTCGTTTTTCATACGTTCTTTATCATTTAATAAACTTTTCTCGTGCTCGGTTAATTTAGAAAAAGTGTAGGAAAGAAAAGAGCCAAAAAAAAAAAAAGAAAAAAAAAGAAAGAAATAAAAGAAAGAAAGAAACACCATGTAAAAACGAAATACCACGTTATTAACGAAGCATTTAAACAAATATTTGCTACATTATTACGTTTACCCATGTAAATTATATTTAATTAATGAATTAATTAATTGCCTAATAGATTAAATAATTTACAATAATTTATAATAATTTATAATAATATTAAATAATTGAAATTTCAGTGAATGATTGGTAAGGGTTGTCGTAAAATTGTTCACTACTTCTTAGTCGTCGATTATTATCGTTTTAAGCCAAATATCGCGATTGCATGTGTAAGCGAGCGTTGATCGAATAGAGGATCGAGGTGCTATCGATAATGCCGCGAGTGGTAATCAACGATATTTGAAAATGTGATTTGAAAATGTTTGGGAGTGAAAAAAAGAGAGCAGGGAAGCAGGGCAGAGTCTTGACAAAATTCTGCTCTCGGTGGAAGTGACGAGGAACTTGGGCGCGTGAGTCTCTATTCGCAGCCTTCACAACCATACGTTGTGTCCATCGCCTGGACAGGGACGAGCGCTGCTCCCGACGTCTCATTTCTACACACACGCGCGCACGCGCGCACACACACACACACACACACACACACATATATAAAGATAGATAGATAGATATTAATGTGGGGCGTGGGAGTGCGTGTGTTTCGCACGTGTGCTGAAGATGCGGTGTGGACTGGCGGGAAGAGGGAGGTAGAGGGATCACAGGTGATGAGGAACTGGGATAGTGGGTGGGATAGCGGGAGGAGAGGGGGAGGGGGGGAGGAGGAGATGGGACGGTTGACGTCGACGTCCACGGATAGAACACAATGTGTGCTCGCACGTCGCGCATTTTATTACCGCATAATGTCCCCCGGCGGTTCGTTCAGTTAGCGGACACTGCGTAATAAAGCCATATTAAACAAGATGGCTTAGCCCGTTAGTCGCTGCCGACGTCTAACTCTTGCGGCCGCGTGCAAGCGAAAGCCAACGTATATTAAAACGTGAGCGACAAGGAGAGCGTGTTGGTCGCGGCTGAGAGAGTGGGATTTTAGCTTCTCATCTACGGCAATCCGAATAAATGGGAAAATCTTCCGTGCGAGAGGGGGTTCCGCTTGGTGGGTCCAGTGGCTCGGTAGATAACGCGGACGGATAATGCAGTTAATGCCAGTTAAAAACTAGCTTGACTTTAATTTGTAGAGAAGTAATTTTTCAGCCCATCTGATC